CCGCGCGGGGACCAAGCGCGCAGCTGGCCATAGTCGCTCCGCAGCGCGTGCCAGCCGGGGCTCGCGCCCAGCCGGGCCAGTCGCAAGGCCATGTCCCGCCGGGACTGGACAGCTCCGGTCCTGCAGACCTGCCGGGGTGCCCGGGGTCCTGAGACCGACCGAGACTCACCGGAACGGGAACCGAGACCAGGGAAGAGACTCAACGGGAGTGGGCCGCTGGCTGAGGGCGGCTGGAGGCTGGCGGGAGCGGAGGATGCTGGGAAGTGTAGTCCAGTCCTATCGCCACCTGCACCCGCCTGAACGCTCCAAGAGTGGAAGATAAGACTCCACCCGGCCCACCGAGGTGGGTCTCACTAGAAGTCTGCGGAGGTCTGTGGAGGTGCTAGCACTGATAAGAGAGGCCACGTAGTCACGTCCACCTTCGATTACCCTGCTCGCTCACCCAAAAGTAGGGCCGGAAGACTGAGGACAAACGGGCAGAAATACGACACAGAGACACCCCTGCCTGAAAACGTCAAACAGGGATTGCAGGCTAGTCCTGGCTATGGGTCTGGAGTATGCTCCTTCGCCCCAGTGCTAGGTTTACCCCAAACTCTCTGGGAAGACTATAAGGTGGGCTCCTGAGTAAATCCTAGGAAAAACATTCACACTCCAAGTTCTCTCCCAGATCTCTGTTCTCCCCCACAGCCCTAAGCTTTGAAAATATAAGGGCAGAAGCTCGCAGATGGAATAGGCAGCAGCTCATTCAAAGCCATTATGGTGCCTAGACACAAATGTCAACGTCAACATATTTTATAAAATCAGAAGGGCTCATTTTCCCTTTTGCTATCCGAGTGCTTTTAATTTCTACTAGTAAATGATATTCTAGACCACTGGTTGCTTTCCCACAAGCTTTCCTTTCTGGCCAGAGCAGTGACAGAAGTTCAATAGGCGTGGTTCAAACTGGTCTGTTCACTCCAGGGCTTCCCATGCAAACTGCCTGGGACTGCACCCTTCCTCAGGCCTGGCAGTTAAGAGAGTGGCGGGCAAATGACGTCAGAGAGAAGTGACAAAACTTTCAGAGAAGAAAAACCCTTAACTTTTAGTTGTAGTGTGCCCTGCCTGGAGACCAACTTGGAAGAGAAACAAAGATAAGAATTATCTCTTGTTTGCCTGTGAAGGCCTGTGGTGTCTAGCTGGGTCTGCTGATGATAAATGAACCCCATTAATGAAAAGGAATCTCTCTAAATATTTTCTCTGTAAGAGACTCCTCCATTTATGCTCCCACTCTGCTAATGCTAAGTTAATTTAAAAAAAAAATCAAATGAGCAAAATAAGTGGTCCTGAACAAATTGTGCACTGGTTTCCAGCCTTCCTAGTCTTCAGCCTCTCTGTCTCTTTCCTCCCCTTCTCTGGCTTCCAGCAAAGTCCTCACATTCAATTTTAATGTGCAGTGCTTAATGGAATCCTTAAATAACCTGATTTGTCTGAGAAAAAATAATCATCTTCCTAGCCAAGCATAGTGGAGCTCACCTGTAATTCCAGCACTGGGAATATAGAGGCAAATGGTTCTCTGAATTTGAAGCCAGCCTGCTGTACATAATGAGAACCTAGCCAAAAACAAAACAAAACAAAACAAACCGCTACCAACAATAAAAAATCATTGTCCAGGGGCCTCAAATTACCCCAAGTTCTACTGGTTGGTACATGGTGTAGAAGTAAATATCCCCTCTATAAGCAAGTTCATGCATCAGAAAGCTGGTAGGGATAAACCAGTTGTAAACAAAAGCTATGCAGCAGGGGTATTCACCTGGATCTGAATTGAGTGATCTGCAGTACTGTCTGGTTTTATTTTCTGGATGACCCCACACCAGCCAGGAAATTCTGATTAGCCTCATGCAAACTCACTAGATTCAGACATTCAGTTGTTAGTCTTCCAACTACACATGCTTCTCAGAATCCTGATGAATTTGAGCTTTCCTCAGTTAAAAATAATTAATTTATTAGTGTATTAGTTTACCTGTCTAGAGAGAGTTTGAGGAAATCCTTTCATTCCTCTGGTAGCTCACCTGCCTTCTAGAAACACACATATGCAAGTGCATGCACACACACACAAACATACACACACATACACAAGAACATACACAGATACATATGCTCATACATATGCATACATACACATACTACGCACATACAAATACACATACACAATTCCCAAGTACCTTCCCTAAATTATACCGTGTTTACCAATTTTCTGTGATAAGCAGTCGCAAGATGTGTCATATCAAAGTGACTCTGTTCCATTGCTTTCAGGACAGATACAAAAACACAAGCTAATTAGTAACAAGGTATTGCTAAACATGGCCTTGGGCATGCTTTCCAACAACTTAGGAATTCTAAGTGCGGTTGTGAGGGGAATGAAATTAACAAGGAAGGAAAGCTTTTGACATTTTAGTATTCTGTCCTAGGATTTGCATTTTGAATTTTTCATCTTCTTGCAAATTTTTTCATCTTAAGAGAATAGTGTCGAGTTGCCTTATATCAATATCTAGGCCAGGCGTAGCACATATCTGCCATTCCAACACAAGGGATGCTGAAGCAGGATTACTGTAAGTTTGAGACCAGCCTGGGCTGCAACAACTCTATATATTAAGTATATAGTGCCACTTAGTGTGGTTGGCTTACTCTTACTTTAGTCAAAGTAATTTTAATTGAATGTTCACAGACAGAGGTAGAAAAAGCACTCAAATAGTCCAAGAGAAGTTCACTCAAGAGACGAACTCACAGTGCCTGCCCCTTCTCTTCTATCTTTTGCCTTTAGCTTCTCTCTATTTTTTTTCCCTACAGTAATCTGGACACAATGTGATCACAACGATCCTGTTGCTGAGAATGTCCCAACACCTTGGAGAGCAGGTTGCTCAACAGAGCCTGCACTCTGAGGGCAGCTTTCAGCACACACTCTAGGGCATACTGCCTCCTTCTAGACATCATGTGATCTAGGAGCAAATAATTTAAAGACTGAACTTGTTCCTTAAATCTTACAGATATAGACACTGTCTGTCTTGGTTCAGATGCCTACCTTGGGAAAAGATGATGTACAGACATGGTAATTTCCAACAATAATTAATGCCTGAGGCTCGAGGAAAGGGGATGGTGAAACTGTACCTTATCTTCTCTAAAAATCAATGAATTGAGTTGGAAAGACTAGCATGGATAGTCTTTTATTCACATAAAACGGTAGGTTAAAGCATATAATGGGAAAGCCTGGCAACTTGAGTTTGATGTCTGGAACCCACTTAGCAAAAATAGAGCCAACCCCTTGTAAGTCGTCTTCTGACATACAATAATTTTTAAAAGAGTGAGAAAGTATTGAAGTTGATTCTGAAAAGCTTACTATGCCTTAAGGTATTTTTTTTTAAACAAACTAGCAAGCACAGAGTAGTGGTTTATGAACAGCGAAGGGCATGAGGCAAGTATCTAATACATTCAGCGAGCAATATAGTTATTTCTTTTTAGTTAGTCAAAATACTGAAATGCTGCTCAATAATCCTCTTGTACACTGTAAAGATTTGTCACTCAAATTGGCTTAATAAAATGCTGATTGGCCAGTAGCCAGGCAGGAAGTTTAAGCAGGATGACCAAACTAAGGATGATGGAGAAGGGCAGAGTCAGGAATCACCAGCGAGAGGTGGAGCAAGAGATGAGCTTGCCATGCTAATAAAGGAACTGCCACATAGCAGAACATAAATAAGAAATATGGGTTAACTTAAAATGTAAGATCTAGTTAGCAATAATCCTGAACATTTGGCCAAACATTCATAAGTAATATGAAGTTGTTATTTGGAAACTGGAAGGCAGAAAGGTTGATTAAATTTGGCATTCTAACGAGGGACCAAAATTTCCACATAACACCTGACCAAACTTAAAAAAGGATTCTAGACACACAAAAAAAGGCGTCAGGTATGGCTTCTTGGTAGCTGCATTTACTCAGGTGGGCTCTGTTTGCTGGTGGTGAGCAGAGGAGTGGCTCCTTTTAGACACAGCTTCCTGTCTCAGTGTTAGCCACAAGAACAGATGGCCTTTTTAAGAAGCCCTACTACCAAACACTTAAATGGGATTTGTGAGCAGTGGATGGGATGCTACTTGTTGCCAGTGTGGACTCTGAACCTTCCCAGAGCTGGAGTGGTAAACATGACTCCAGCCTGTACTTTCACCATGAAGCTAGGCACTCAGAACCAAGGATTGGGTCTGAGGCAGACACCAAATCCACAACTTTGGTCATGCAACTTAGCAATTTAAATACTCATGTGGTCAGAAAAAGATAGAGATATGCAGTAAAGACAGATTCAAATGAAAAAAGGGAGTCTCTAAATGGCTTATTAAAAGTATTCATAGGCTTGGGAGAAAGAAGAAAAATAATATATACAGCCTCAAATTAAAAAATATTGTTTTAAAATAAAGTCCTTAAAAAGAAATAAAGTAATAAAAATATAGTAAGTCATGTAAAGATGGAAAATACACAGAGTCTTGATACTGTAAGTTATTGTGTTGCTTTTAAATTTTCTGACTACTAAAAAGCAAATGATAAATACTAAGATACATTTGATTATAAAAACTACTAGATTAAATCAACCTATATATTTAAAAATATCTTGACTTCAAAATTTCAGTCGAAAGGTGTTTTACTCTGGGAAAGAGATTCTGCTTCTATTTCCACAGGAAATTACAGGCTATAGATTCATTCTGGGCTAAGAAAAATCAGGCTTGATCAAGGAAGACCCTCTGAAAAACCGCCAGTGGGGATGGATGACCCAGATGATCCAATGTTTCAGAGATCCTCTGTTGCAGTTTCCTCTGAGGTCTACTTCCAGAACAGTCTGCCAGCTGCTGGTGGAGATGATCCAGCTTCACAGAATATTCCAGACAGGACTTGACTATAATCCTAAATTTTTTCAGGGTCCCCCAAAGAAATAGGACCAGCACCCCCAATCAATAGGAAGTAGCCTAGAAAGCTACACTCACATTCCCAAAAATGGATTATGGATGTTTGCCTTTGTTTAGGGGGGTTTGGTTACAAATTGTTATTGGTCAAAGGGAAAAAGGAGAAAAGAAAGAAAAAGTTAAATAAAAGAGTTAAATTCAAAAATTCCTTTCTAAAGAAAAAAGGGAAATAGGATATAGAAATAATAGGATAAAAGTCTAAAGAAAAAAGGGAAATAGGATATAGAAATAATAGGATAAAAGGGTAGATTATTGAATCTAATT